CTCTCTCTGTTTTCCCACCACCCTGTTCTAAATGAAACACAATTGCTAATCACACCATCGACTTACAAATTTGAAACCAAGTTACTAGCTGAACTTGCATTTCTGCAATGAAATCACACAGCTTAGATTGGACCTTCCAGTTGCTAGCATGACAGCCTATCATCAGCTTTTTACAGCTTTCCTATGCAGGAGTGTCTTTGATTCTGGCAATAATACTGGGAGAAAACCAAGGCAAAAAGCTGAAGTTATTTGTAATCTGTTCTGATGACCTAATTCTGTCAGCAGCCACAATTAAAACCCCATCAGCAGAAAAGTCTGTTGCTGCTACCTGTGTATCTTCAGCACTTTCATCTGTGTCACACATTCCAGACAGACATGGTTTATAAAAGCAGCTTCCTTTATTTTAGGGAACTCTGCTAATCTAAACATAATGGATTCCTCATTGCTGGCTCACTGCCTTCACTCTTTTGTCTCATTTAATTTATCAATGCAGAACTCACTCTTACGCTTTTCCTCATCCCTGCTTTTCTGCTTCTACTTCTGCCTTTTTCTTTGTGGGATGCCATTTTTTCATTTTAGTGTTTCAAACAGGAATAAATGCATTGATCACACTCTTCCCATCCAATTGCACAAATGGAGAACTAAACTTGCAATCATTTTGCCCTAAGTTACTGAGGCAGTGGAAGTTACACCATGAACTTTCAGCATGTGTTATACGGCACCTTTTGGTGAAATAACAATGCTATTATTTTCTGAAGTGTAACACTATCAACCTCTGAAGCCAATTCGAGGTGGCATGCTGACCTATTAAAAGAGCAGAGCAGAGCAATATTTAAGGCAACAGATTTTTAAAACCTCTTTATCCCTCCTTCTCTAGCTTTAATGATCAACAAAAAATTATTCAGGCAAATAATTTTTACTTATGTATGCAAGTTGCTTGTTTGTTTATTCTTAAACAAAACTTACTTAGCTAAGAACAGAACTGCTGGTTGCTTTTGTATTAAACATCTGTTTTCAAATACCCATGTTTAGTCAAATACTCTTATTTTGCCTATGGAAACTTAAGTTTTAAAACTGCTTCGCTACTGTTCTGTTGTGGTTTTTTTTGTTTTGTTTTTGTTTGTTTTTGTTTTTTTTCCAGTGTGAGCTGTGTTTCAAGTGATGGTGTTGAAAATCAAGCTGCAATTCTTTTGACAATAAAATGGCTGACATGTTTACTGACATTGTAATTCCTTACACTGTGGTTACTATCACGTATTGTTAATGTAACAACCACTGCAATGAACTTAGTATTTTTAAAGATTAAAAAACATGGAATATGAAAAATAAGATGGAACCTGAAATGCAATGTATCCTAAAATTTTAGTCTGGCTGGGACAGGGAGGAACAGTTTAGAAGGACCCAAGGTAGAATAAGGTGCCTGAGTCCATCTGTTGTCTGTAGCAACATTCACTTAAAAAAACCCAACTAAAGCCAGAAACATTTCTGTAGAAGCACATATAACAGATAGCTTAACTGACAGCTTGGTAGACGTGTGCATTCCAGCTTGTATGCCAAAATGGGAAACTGAATGTGAAAGAAGGGGATGAAGACGTAGCCCTAAACCTTCTGTGGACACCCAGAAAAATGGACAAATTATTTCTGGTGTTTCAAACTAGTTCTGCAGTACATCCATGCCCAGTTTGTTGGAAATGGTCTGGAGAGAGCATATAAGGCCAGGTTTTCTGACCCTTGATACCCTGCATTGGGATAGGTTATAAAGTGTTTGAAAGTGAAGTAAAGGTATAGCTTTGAACAAGATGCTAGAGAAAAGAGGAAAGAAATCTGTATTAGGACTTTCTCTGCTTTTTTGCGGCTGCCAGCGTTAGGGAAGAACTGGTTAGCTCAAAACTGATACTGTTTAAAATACTAATATTCCGTTTTCTGCCAAGTAGTTACTAAACTAATCTCCTTTTTTATTTGTTTATGTTCCCTCTTGGATAATACAGAATGATTGTTTGGGTCTGAGAGTTTCATCAGTGTGTTTCAGATTTTTGATGGCAAACTACACCTTCTGCTCTTTAATTCCTTAGAAGCATGACCACCCCAGGCTAAGCAGCTCTCATCAGTTCTAGGTATCTGAAGTTGCTGGATGTGTTTGGAGCCTTGTTGGTGTCACTTAGGATGTCACTGTGTCTCCATATTGTATATATTTTAACTCTGAGCAAAAAGCGAAACTTTCATACTCTAAGGGCTTAGTGAAAAAGCCCTATGAATATTTTCCTTAACAAACAAAAGAAGCTACTATTTTGCACTGGAAATGTATTTAATACTAAAGCAAAGAAGAGCAAATATTTACACGGCAGGAGGCAATGCAAGATGAGTGATAATAATGTGCTGATGTACAAAAGACCTTGCATCAGCAGATGTGATGCACCAATTGTGTGACTTTTGATACTACCAAGTGGCATTTTACTTAAGTAGAAAGAAGAAAACGTATACTTTTTGTCAGCTGTGTTTTTTGTAATTCAATAAATAGCACTTCCAAAGAAAGGTACCTCTTGCTAAGAGAACTAGGAATTTGGATTGAACAGTGAGACAATAACTTCTTTTTCACAGGAACGCAAATCCCAAATCTTACAATGCTGTCCTTTTACCGTATTCCCAATTTTCTAATTGAAAAGGACAAATACTAGGCCCAGTCTGTTTTAGAGCAGTTTGAGCTAAGATAATAGCAGACTTGAAGCAGTTCTCAACTGCAGCTTTTTATTACTCGAAGAGGAAAACTGTCTCATGTCACAACTTGCTGGGTAGATGATTTTCCCTTGGACTTGCTTTATTTCCAGTGCTCCCAGGAGTAACAGACAGATAGTAATTAATTTCCTGGCACATGAAATACAGAGACTGGCAGGAAAGGTTTCTAAAGCAAGAAGCTTGCTCTGTAGTCGTATTAAAGGTAACAAGACAATTAATTGTGGTGATGGTATGATTATGACCAACTGTAGAAGCCAAAATTGAAGTAATATCCTAGGCATGACCCCTGGCATCAATCAGATAAACTCAGACTGCATGTTTACACACCTTACTAAACAATACAGAAATAACCATTTACAGATTTTTTTGTACTCAAAGATATGGTCATATGGCAATTAAGCCCTGGGTACCTTGGAAATGAAGGGTAATTTAGACTGCTTAATGTATCTTTAATCTGTAAGTCACAGGATTCTACCACAACTGCCTTTGAGCAGAGCCTTCCTGACGTTCTTTAAATAGTTAAATGGCTCAAAGAATTGTAATATAAGTGAATGTTCTGGCTTTAGTTTTAGATTATTCTATAAGCCTGAAAATTTTATAAACAGCTGTTGTATATAATTTACATAACATATTGGTCTGTATATTTTTTGACACCTAAAGTAGGCTGGTGGCTGTTAGCCAGAAAGTATTTGTGGAAGGAAATCCACCTCCAGTTTACTGGCAGTCAGCAAGGATTTTTAAGACTGAATGGACCTAAATGCCAATATTTGGCACAGTTCCTATTTACATTGAAACAGTCTAACCACAGAGGGAACAAAGAGATTCACTGTCATATCTGGCAGCTGATACTTTTCATGGTACTTTTCTTAGTATTTGCTACCACTCTGTGGGTTCCTGTAACAGCTTTCCTTGGCATTTATTTCCTATGACCCTTGGGGAAGTATTTTCTCCTAGTGGCAGATAATACAAGACATCTAGTCATACAAGCTTGAGGATGGTCATAAAGCAGTCTTTGAACAGTGAGAAGCTGTACATAGAAAAGCACCATTTTCTTTCTGTTAATGCAAACAGTTTGGGTTGTCTGCCTTAGCCTTTAAATAATGGAAAAATGTTACCAAATATTTGCTCTTTGGTCTGTGTTCTCAAGTATTTTCAGCTCTTTTCTACGAAAAGTGTCCTAAAGTGCTCAGTGAGAGTACATCAGCAGACTAGAACTGAGTAGAGCAACATGGAAAAGGGCAGAAGGAACCTGACTGGATTTCAGACTAGGTGTCTATCCTTGAATGCTATGGATCACATGGAGACTTGAACTGGGGAGAGGAAAAGCAAAGGTTGAAGGTTTATTGTTGACTAACTTAATATATAGAAAATTCCATCTAGAAAGACAGAGCATTAGCTTAACCAAATATTTTTAAATCTCCCCTGAATGACTGACTTGGGTTAAACTCATTTGCTAGATGGAACTAATGAAGTATCAGTCAGGGGCGAGAGCAGTAGGATCAAGAATCTGTGTTGTGATTACAAGGTGCTAGTGCAGGCTGCTGGATATTGAAAGTCAAACTTTGCCATGACATGCTATGTCAAGTCTTTTGATCCATCTTTCCTTCGTAAAAAAGGTAGCGATATTGAACTGATCCTAAGGATTTTGTTCAGTTTCACATTTAAAACCTCTGGTCTCTCCACAGGGGGAAATGCTAGGTCATCCATTTCTGCTTGATAACAACACTGGGCTTCTTTTCTTTTATGATTGTGAGAATCTCACATTTGTATTGTGATCACTGGCTTCTTCTGTTTTCAAGCAGTTACTAAGACTGGAAATGAGGCTACTAGAACTGCAGGAGCCTAAAAAAGTCTCAGTATGCCTCAGTGTCCTTTAAGACTGTGGTTTTGACTTACTACAAGTTTTTATGTAAGCTCCATGTGCATCTGGGATTCAGTTTCTTCAAAGGAGCTGTAGTGAAAAATGTGTAACAATCTGGGACCTATAACATGAAACATTACACAAAAGTGGATGTTGCAAGTATTTCAAAATTCAAAAGCCAATTGGTATAAAAAAGAGATTAAGAACTTTTGTGCATTTATTTATATATACACACATACACTTCTATATATATAAATAAAAATAAATGTTACCTTTCTACAAACATTATGGATGACCACAGTTCTTGATCATAGGGTACAGTCAAACTTCTTCACTTTACAGGTGTTCAGTCTACGTGTACTGGAGTTATGATCAAGAGTACTTCAATGAAAGAAGAATTTAAATCATTACTTTGCAAAATAATTTTATTTGACAGCAGACTGTCTCAGCAAATTAGGTTGGCAGTAGCAAATAATTTCAGCACTACTGAAGCCAAGCACCTGGGGAGTTCATGACTTGACTTCAGTTTCTTCTACTTGAGGTAGTGAATCCCAAACTGGTTCCTGAATATGTTCAGGTATTTTCTCTATCTTAGTCTAAAAAGAAAGCAAAGTAACCATTTATTACCTCAACTAGTTAACATGTAACTGCTTTATTTATTCTGGTTTGAGGTATTTATCAGATTACAAATGCCACCTAGCGGCGTTTTCAAGCAATACAGTCTCTTACTATTTGATACTTTGTATTACAATGTTCCTTTTTAAACGACACACGTTTTTCCTCTGCTGACTTTCTGAAGATTTCAGTAGTTATTGGTACTTGCATCAGGATTTAGTCTCATAACAGTTCATAATATGAGCTGGAAACTTACCTTTTTTACTTCCATGGCAACCCCTTCAGGTAAGTTTCGTTGAACATACTCCAAGTAAACTGCAGCAGTACTGCTTGTTAGGTATTTTAACTAAAACAGAAGCAAGGTTTTTAAAATTAACTGCTATTATTAATACTTCAAAACAAACAATTAAAAAAAAGAGTTTGCCCTAGCTTCTCCAGTTGTTGCTTCAGTACTAAACATTTTGCAAGAAGGCAGCTTCCGTAACACTGAACAGAGGCAGCTGAGCTGCAGGAAACTTTCAAGTAACTAGTTAATTCCCTCCCCAGAGTCACATATTCTGCCTCCGGTCACATGCATCGAGTATGATGGATCTTAACACTGCATGTATCGGATTAATTAAATTACAGGTTATGCCAGACTTAGCAGCTTTTCTATACGTTCAAAGTTCAAGCTGGTTATAGATCCTGCAGCTGCAGAATTCCATTGAATTGTTATTTTCTAATTTCTTCCGGATGGCAAAAATAGCGCTTATGGTCTGTGGGCAGCCACTTGCACTGAACCTATGTCCCATTTTGCTAAACACTGTGCAAATATACAGTAAGACACCCAGGAGCCACAACATGCTGTCAGTAAACCTTTCTTCTAAGGAAGCCAACCGCAGCTGCATTCTAAACCATATAGAAGCCTGTGTCATCAGCCACAGAGCCAGTGGTTTATAGACGCTTCCTTTCTTGTATTTCCCCCACACAGTTTTCGTTTGCCACATGATGTTGCAGAGGGCAGAAGTGTTAAAAGACATCAGACAAACTCACCAAGAACACAAGACTTAGTGACTGGTAACAGTGATGAGAGAGCTGCATCTCCTTCCCTTTCTGAGAAAGCTCATATCCCACCGATTCTCAGAAACCAAGAGCATAAAACATATAAAGATAACCTTCAATTCTACTTTATTTTCTAATTATTCTTTCAGCTGATAAAATGATGGTTAAAATCAGCCTTTTAATAAACAAATTATGTATGCTGTAGAATCAGAATAACTTGTGATACCTCTGATGTACCTAGGTCAGCTGTTTTCTGCTATTCCCTGCACTCTCCTCCCCAGCCCCAGTGAATAGTAAGTTTGTGTTCACTCCTGAACTACTATCTATTAGTATCTTTGAACTGTGCATCTAGAACATACTTTTTTTTTTTTTTAACATCTTTCTTACCTCCAAACACAAATAATGTGTTCTCATTTCATACTGGACTCTGTGCTTCTTGTAAATATGTACAGATTTTAAAAGTGTCAGTCGTTCTATCGACTTTGGAGGTCTATGTCTGCATAAAGCACAAAAAAAACCCAAACTCATTTTATATAAAGGATGCCAATACAAATTATCTGAAAGATTATGCTGAAATCCCTGTTCTTACCTGACATTTAGAAGATGTACAAGGAAGTATTAAATACTGGTACAGTTTATTATTAACCCACATGGGCATAGTTAATACTCAGGTATTAACCAGCATTAGCTCAGTAAAGCTTAGAGCACTGACAACTGTACTTAAAGAGTGCTGTCAATACCCTTCGTGCAGTTAAAATGCACTTCTACTATGGCAGTGCTGACTGTAGCACTACTGCTCCTTTCTCATAACTATGATACCATCTAAGAAGTGTTAGATTTATAATCTGAGAAAAAAATGTCAGATGACACCTGTTTCTTGAAAAAGAAAAAATAGAACCCAGAACCCGAATTACAGCAGATGAAATCAGAAGCACCTGATACCACATCACTCTACAGATCAGTTACTTACACTTTTTCAACAGAGATGCCAAGCTCTGTAGCTGCAAGCACTGCAAAATATTCATAGCTGTCCAACACAGCTTTATCGTGGCCTTTAACTAAAAGGGAAACTCTCTTGTACAGTGTTTCTGGCTCATCTGAAATAGAAACCTGCATTTGTAAAGAAAGGACAAGAGTTACTACTTCATGTTCTCCTTAATGCATGCACTGCCTATATCTTAGCTTGTGCAACCCGTTTGTAAAAAAGGGAAAACACCACACACTGTTAGCTGCTTATTTTAGTTTATCTGCAAGAGGCTGACAGTATTACCTTGATTGACAGTTCTCACTCTTATGAGGGAAGGCAAAAGGATGAAGATATACCTAGCCTCTGAACATTCAGGTAAAATTTATTAAACAGAAAAGGGAAAAGATGCTGAATGCAGTTCTGAGGGGAAGGATCTGGGAGTCCTGGTAGACAGTAAATTATCCATGAGCCAGCAATGTGCCCTTGTGGCCAAGAAGGCAAATGGAATCCTGGGGTGCATAAGGAAGAGTGTGGCGAGTAGGTCAAGAGAGGTGGTCCTGGTGAGGCCACATCTAAAACACTGCATCCATTTCTGGGCTCCCCAGTTCAAGAGAGACAGGGAATTACTTGAGAGTCCAGTGGAGGGCAACAACGATGACTGGGGTATTGAACATCTCCCTTATGAGGAAAGGCTGAGGGAGCTGGGTCTCTTTAGCCTGGAGGAGGCTGAGGGGAGAACTTACTAATGCCTACAAGTATCTAAAGGGTGGGTGCAAGAAGGATGGAACCAGACTCTTTTCAGTAGTTCCCAGTGACAGGACAAGGGGCAGCAAGCACAAGGTGGAATAAAAGGAAGTTAAATTTAAATATGAGGAAAATCTTGTTTATGGTCATGGTGACAAAGCACTGTAACAGGCTGCCCAGGGAGGTGGTGGAGTCTCCTTCTCTGGAGATATTCAAGACCTGCCTGGATGATGCAGTCCTGAGTGATGTGCTCATGGGGATCCTGCTTTAGCAGGGGAGTTGGACTAGATGATCTCTAGAGGTCCCTTCCAACCCTGACAGTTCTGTGATTCTGTGAATCCTGTAAAACACTTACCAAAGGATTAGTCTTAGGCTCCAGTGTATCAACATGGGACCCAGCCAGCCGCACTCGCAGCAAGTTGGCGTTTCTACAAATTGGTTATTGGGAAAGCATAGTTACCAAAAGTAGATTTTTTTTTTTTAAGGAGTGTGGAGACATGAAAAGAAGAAGGGCCTTTATACTTACGGGAGAAAACATTGCTTTTGCATAATTCTGCTTGCATAACTGACAGGAGAAGCTGATACCTGTTTAAAAGAAATGGGTTATGGGGTTTTAATGCCCAAACTAGAAAGCAACCAGTTAAAACAGGTGAATTAAAGTTAACTTTTTTGCACATTCCTAGGCATTAATCTGCCAAACCAGAAAGTTTGCTCTATTGGAAAAAAACAGAAGCATAGAAATGTATTTTAGCATACAATACAACCTAAAGAAAGGAACACATTGCAGGAACAATGTAAGAGTATGCACCAAGCACCTGAACAGCAATCACAAAGCACTTTTTTTTTTTTTTTAGCAGAAAATTCTACTTTACGTAGTATCAGACATCATTCCTATATATGATACTACGTTCTCTTTAGTTTTGCTTTAATAGTACAATATATATTAGTTTTGGCAAGTGACAATTCTAATTACTTTTGTAAAAGCAATTGAAAACAGTATCATCTAAATGCTGAAATTCAACTTCTGAACTTAACTGGAAGTTTCCCATTTTTCCATCAAAATTGTCCTTGTGATTTTGATTATTTGTTCTTTTGAAGAGAACATTTAAAATAAAAAAATAAATACTTGTAAAAAGTAAATGAACAATATTTTGTGGCTTGTAGCTTTCCTTCACTAATTCTCAATTCAGCAAAGACATAGACTACTTGAGGGCAGGGGGTGAAAAAGGAACCAGAATTCTCACCTGCTTAAGAAAAACCCAGGGCTGCAGCAGAATGTTGAAGCAAAATTAGCTACTTATCCAGCCCCTTGATACTCTTATTTAACAAGTGCTAGAGTAGCAGCTTTAAGAGAAGACAGATACCTCACACATCATCTATGGAGGTGACTGTACAATCATAAGAAAACAGCCAGAATTGACACTTTCCCAGGTAATCTTAATATAGTCACTCAAAGAAATGAATAACTAACTATATGATGCTACTAGGTCCCTAACCTTCTCCAGTTAAGTGAACAACACAATAAGCAACTTTGGGAGCACTGAATATTTGCCACTATAGTTGGTGACCATTCAGAATGTTTCAAAGCTTGGGCTGGGAATTATTTGAGCCCTAATACCTACAATTAAGTTGTCTTTATCTTTGCACCTCAATTCTCTTTCTTCAGAGTCAGAATCCCTTTCATTCAAAGCCAGGTACACTAACATCATCACCTGACATCACTTCAGGGAACACACAGGCCCATGAGCAGAGAAGGACACTGTAAATTTCGACAAAATGATACACTGAGTACCCCAGGTAGCAAAAACAGCATTTGGCAGGCAGTAAAATACATTTTAACAGCTTTCTTCACTCTCTGATTTAAATATACCTCATGTGTTCTTACTAACAGCTACCACGGGAGGTGGGAAAGACACTCAGACTGCAGTACAACAGAATACAATTTCCTCCGTGCAGCCAGGTCTTGCACAAAACTGACTTCTCCCCTAATGCAAAACAGCCTTCATTTTGTCTGGCCGAGAGACCCTGAGGAACTCGGGAAGAGACCGACGCCTGGAAGGGAAGCCAGTCCAGAGCACAGCACATACGGATGAGAGTCCAGGTTTTCAGAAAACAAACGGGAAACTTCCAAGATCGAATGTCCTCAACTTGAGAGAAACCAACCACCCTTTAGAAGTCAAAACCAGCAGAACGCACAGGTAAGGCTTACGAAACGCCGAGAGACCCTGAGGAACTCGGGAAGAGACCGACGCCTGGAAGGGAAGCCAGTCCAGAGCACAGCACATACGGATGAGAGTCCAGGTTTTCAGAAAACAAACGGGAAACTTCCAAGATCGAATGTCCTCAACTTGAGAGAAACCAACCACCCTTTAGAAGTCAAAACCAGCAGAACGCACAGGTAAGGCTTACGAAACGTTAAGGTTAGGAACGGGCCGGGCACAAGACCCTCTCCTCTCCCACCCCGGAGCGGCAGAGCAGCCG